GCCAATCCCTCCACTGGCTTCCGATTGCGCAACGGATCAAATTCAAAATCCTAACGCTAACGTACAAAGCTGTCCACCATACTGCCCCGAACTACATCACTGACCTAATATCCAAGTACCGCCCAGCACATTCACTCCGCTCCTCACAAGACCTCCTTCTCTCTATTTCCCTGGTCTCCTCCTCCCATGCCCGCCTCCAGGACTTCTCCAGGGTGTCACCCATCCTCTGGAACTCCCTGCCCCAACCCATCAGATTATCACCTACTCTCCTCTCCTTTAGGCGCACCCTGAAAACCCATCTCTTCAGGGAAGCCTACCCCACCCCCTGCTAACTTGCCGACCTCCTCCACTCTTTCTACCACTCCATCCCCCACAGCTATCTCCTCCTGTGCCACCATCCCCTCCCTCCTAGATTGTAAGCTCGAAAGAGCAGGGCCCTTGATCCCCTCATGTTTTGCATTGTATTGGCATTGTTCTGTCACATGTTCTGTCCCCCTTTGTAATGTACAGCGCTGAGCGAACTATTAGCGCTTTATAAATACTGTATAATAATAATAATATCCTTATATCCCTCGCAGGGATTTTACTGATGATGCAGTTAAAGAGGATCTTCAGTCTTGACAAAAAAAAATAAAAGTCAGCAGCTACAAATACTTTAGCTGCTGACTTTTAATATTAAAACACTTACCTGTCCAGGGATCCAGCAGTGTCCCTACCTCGAGCCGATTCTGCAATCGTCCGTTGGGTGCTGGTGCCGCCATCTTGACTAAGGGAAACCAGCAGTGAAGCCTTGCGGCTTCACAGCCGGTTTCCTACTGCGCATACATGAAGCGCACTGTGCTTTGTAAATGGACCACAGTCCTCTGGGACCTGTGATAGAGGGCTGCAGGAGGGGCCCGAACTTCTGGATGAGTTTACCACAGCGAACTGAGCCAGAAGTGAGAGCAGGTACCTTTCAAAACCAGGCATCCATTTTCCCCCCCCCCCCCAAAAAAGGAGCCAAATGTGGCAGTGGAGGGGGAAGGAGGCAGTTAAGTGGAGCTTCCACTTTTAGGTGGAACTCTTTAATTAACAGGCAGCTCTAAATCTTGACAGACTAGTACACTAATAATGGCGCCTTTTTTTCCTTACATGACTGCTTGCTTTTGCTTTTTTTTGCTTTTTTTTTTCTTTTTTTTTTAGCAATGATTGCTTGAAACAAAAAAAAAATTGCAAACAATCTCCAATCACAGATTATGACCTCATGAAGAGTTTATCATATGCTACTGGAAAGTTTTCCTTTAAGAAGTTACTGCTGGCCTTAGAAGGTGGTCATCACTTCCAGTAATAAACATGGATGAGTTTTATGCAGGTCTGTCCGCTCTTACCACAGAAAGCTGAACCGTCTGCTGCTGCACTTTCAGGACAGGAGCAGAACACAGAGATGCAGTGTACTGGTAGAACAGTATGCCATTCCCAAACTCCCCAGTCATTTTCTAGATCCTATCATGCATCTGCTTCCTCTGTACTGCAGCTTGAGAGCAGTTTGCAATTAATTACCCGTCTCATTCATCCAATTTGTGTCCAAGCCAAATCAAAGCATATTACTATTTCTGACTGGCAGAGTGGGGGGTTCTACATTAGAATCCCACCAAGGACACAATCTGCTTGCAATCTGCATGTTCTCCAGTGGTTGTGTGGATTTTTTCTTAGTAAATCCAAGTTTCCTCCGAACCTAAAAAAATATATTAAAAGATAATTTGCTTTATCCAACATCAAAAAATATATTAAAAGGTAATTTGCTTTGTCCAACATCAAACATATTTGTCCATAAACTTGCTCTATGACTATGTAGGAAAATTGGATTGTAAGCTCATTGGAAAAAGGGACCGATGAGATTGTTATTTTTTTTTTTTTTAAAAACATTGAAGAATATGTTGGAGCTATATATCCCAAAACCGCTCTTTCTACTTTTTTTTTTTTTTTTTTTTGTGCAGAAAGTAAAGGTCAGCAACCAATTTTGTGAAAAGACCGCAAAGCCCACCCCAAAAAGTGTTCCATAACAAAAAAAAAACTATATAACATATTCGGAGTCCACAACAGAAGAATACTAGATACCACTCCTGAACAAATCTACCTTAAAAGAGAAGTTTGGGAATTTAAAAAAAAATGTTTACTTACCTAGGTGGATGCAGTATCGATCCGATGCTGCATCTGTCCCCCGGCGGCTCTAAGACTGAGAACTGAGTAATCAAACACTGATTATTGCTCAGTTCTCTCTCTCCATTCTGAGCAGAGAGCTGGGACTGTCAGTCTCTGCCTCAACTGCTCTGCCCCCCCCCCCCCCCCAGGGATCCAGCAATAAAGGGGGTGGGAATGGCTTGCTCAGGCTCTCAATGGATCACTGAGAGGCTGAGTCAGATGCCGGTTCAGGCATCTGGGCAGATCCCGACTTTAAAGACAGGATCAATCACCAGCCTGGACTAGCGGAGAATAAACTGAATGGACAGAATGAGCTGTACTCCTGTGATCCACAGGAGACATACAGAAAAAAAAAAAAAACTTTGGCTGTACTTCTCTTTTAAAGGGATTCCATGAATCCATGGATCCAATATCTTTCTGTGCCTTAATGACACTCATCTGGACTTTCTTTTCTACTCTTCCCTTTGCTCTTTTTGTATTGCGCTGCATTGTATTTTCTATGTTGGCAAGGCGAGATATACTTGACCTCAAATTGGCCGCGATTTAGGTCTTGTCTTAACTGCCACTTGTTGCGGCAGACTTTATTGTTTTGCTGTTTCTCTGTGTATATATGATGGCAGGTTATTCATTTATATTGTTTGTTTTACTTATGTCTTTTTCTTTTGTAAATCTATTCAATAAAAACCATTGAAATATAAAGGGTTTCCATGGAAGTTCTAATATATAAAATAAATATAAACAGGATAAAAAATATAGCTCTTACGCAACCAACTTCTTAAACATATTTTATTATAATATAATAAAAACAAAAAATACAGGTAAAAACAAAAGTATACCTCTTAAAAACAATATTCCCCCTAGATGATCCTTTGGTTGGAAAAAAATGTGTAAATACATCCTAAATTATAAATATATGTTTAAAGTTACTGATAGTTTTACAAAAGTTTAACCCAAACAGAAAGCATACCTCCCAACAGTCCCAGATTACGTGGGACTGTCCTGGGATTTTAACAAAACCCCAGCATCCAACAGATCCAGGCTGTGTCCTGCTGCCAGCAGTCAACAGAGGGGCCCATCTATTCTGGAACTGTGTCTCCCACTGTGCTTGAAGCAAAGGATGGACCAAGCACAGCTATTAGGGAGGGAGAGAGCCAGGAAAGAGCAGGGCGGAGTCTCTGGGTACAATTCTGCTTCATGCTGTTGTCTTGTTGCTTACTACTTTATGTGCAGCTTGGCAGACCAGAAGAGACCCCTTCTCCCAGGATTGGGATTACCTGCACTCAGTCCCCCTTTAACGGACTCATTGTAAAGCAGTCTTCCCAGGTACAGGGCCACCCGAATCAATAGATGTCTGAAGTGAGCTGCCAGCAGAGTGAGTAGCTTCTTTGGCACCAGAACAGCACGCTTCAGTCTGAAAATGTAAACTGGAAGAGTTGCTGATATACAGTGGGTGTTTTCCTTGGCAGGTATTGGAAACCTTTCCATATTCTGAAATCCTGCAAACATTTACATCTGGCTGATCTCATACTAACCTTATCTCTGAAGTACAGCTAAGGATCTAAAAATGGCCATGGGGTTGGGGGTGGAGGGAGGTGGGAGAATAAGTGAACAGTAAGAGCCCCAGAGAAAGTAGACTATTTGGGTATGCCTTTACACTATTGCCAAACTATCTGTTCAAAAACATAGCATGGTTGTTAAGGCGCTGTTGTCCCCAACCAATGGATCATGAGCCACATGTGGTTATCTCTACAACTCCAAGCCATGGTTGCGCCAGCAATGTGTTATTTGCTGCCTTAACTTTCAGCATATTTTGAACTCTTAAAGAACATATATGTAGTGCTACCCCCGCAGGGGCCACTTGATAATGCTTGTCCCCAGTGGTTGCCCTGACCTAGAAAGCCTCCAGACACCTCTGATACTACTCTGGGGTCAGACATATTTCAACATTATGAAATAATAATGCAAGAGACACAGTTCTTTAGTAACACCTCTATTTTAGGCTCATTCAAAAGAGTAGACCTCAAATTGAAAGTTTAACCACTTGCCTATCAGGCACTTATACCCCTTTCCTGCCCAAGCCAGTTTTCAGCTTTCAGCGCTGTCACACTTGAATGACAATTGCGTGGTCATGCAACACTGTACTCATATGAAATTTTTATCATTTTTTTTAGACAGATAGAGCTTTCTTTGGTGGTATTTAATCACCTCCGGGTTGTTTATTTTTTGCTAAACAAACCAAAAACAACTGAAAATTTTGAAAAAAAATTTTTTCTTAGTTTTTGTTATAGCATATTATAAATAAGTGATTTTTCTCCTTCACTGATGTGCGCTAATGAGGCCACAGTGATGGGCACAGATGAAGAGGCACTAATAGGTGGCACTGATGGGCATTGACAGACATCACTGATCGGCACTGAAAGGCAGCACTCATATATGGCACTGATAGGTGGCACTGAGTGGTACTGTTAGGTGGCACTGACAGGCGGCACTGACTGGCACTGATAGGCGGCAATGACTGGCACTGATAGGTGGCACTGACTGGCATTGATAGGTGGCATTGACTGGCACTGATAGGTGACACTAAAAGGCAGCTCAGATGGGCACTGATATGTGGCATTGATGTGCACTGGCAGGCACTGATATGTGGCATTGTAAATTAAGGCATTGTAATTTTGTAAATAAGTGATTTTTCTCCTTCACTGATGTGCGCTAATGAGGCCGCACTGATGGGCACTGATAGGCTGCACTGATGGGCACTGATGAGGCACTAGTAGGTGGCACTGATGGGCATTGACATGCATCACTGATGGGCACTGAAAGGCAGCACTCATATATGGCACTGATAGGCGGCACTGACTGGCATTGATAGGTGGCATTGACTGGCACTGATAGGTGACACTAAAAGGCAGCTCAGATGGGCACTGATATGTGGCATTGATGTGCACTGGTAGGCACTGATATGTGGCATTGATGAGGCACTGATGGGCACTGACAGGTGGCACTGCTGGGGCTACAGTGATCATCATGGACACTGATCATCAGTGCCCTGATGATCAGTGTAGATGTCTTCTCCGAGGAATGCCGATTACCGGCCCTTCTCTCGAGCTGTCAGCGTGACAGCTCGTGAGGAGAGAAATGCCGATAACCGGCATTTCCCTATTTACATGTGATCAGCTGTGATTGGACACAGCTGATCACATGACCGAGTCAACATCTTTGGCTCTTTCCATTGATCGGTGATCCGCTGCTGTGTCCGAGGGACACAGCGCACCACCAATCGCCGCGCTGCACACTCCCGGAGCTGCACATGTGTGGCTAGAATGTGAGGACGTCATATGATGTCCTCCAAGAAAGAGAGAACCGCCTTGTGCCCGTCATTACCTTATATGGTGGGCGGGAAGCAATTAAGAGGGACATCCCCAGTTAATTCATTAAAGCAAAAAAGAAACACACTGATAAAATGGAATTAACCAAGTAGCAATGGTTAACAGATAATAGAGTCATAAATCGGTACTTTGTAACTATGTAGCTGCAACACATGCAGCAGGAGGGGGAAGAAAAGGCTTGTTGACTTATCAGCTCCCTCTGGGCCACCAGCATTACAATAGAGAATGCAAAGAATTATATTTATATACACTCTCTGGAATAAATGGGTATAGACACCCTAGTTTGAATAAGAATGTCTTAGATACAAAGAGGTCCCTTTTAACTAGAAATAGTAACTTGAGTCCTGGGATGTTTAAAGTTCCTGATGTGATAGTAATCAGTGTCTTCTGCTAGCAATGGTGGGGCCTATATACAGTAATGAGCAAAGGTAATTCAATGTAGCAGATATAAGAAGCACCACAGAAAATGCAAAATAAATCAAATAATAAGCAGCACCTCTAACCAAAAAAGGTAAAATAGTGTATAATTAAAAAGTGCGCTAATTATTCACAAAACATGCAAGTATAAATAATAAAAATATAAATAAATTCATAAATATAAACATAAGTCAAATCACCATAACAGTGATAGTCCAATATCAACTTAATGTCAATCTTGAAAACAAACACTCATGTGCAAATACGACACCAGATGAAATGAATACACTCACCAGAGCTATATGCTGATTATATTATAAACCAGAATGAGAGCATTTTGCTCTGGGAGCAATGATCTGCAGGATATCCCAGTAGAGGAACAGCAACCAATCGTGATCCAATCAGCACATATGGAACAGCTAGGCAGCACATATGGAACAACTAAGCAGCAAATGATCTTCCAATAACATGGGCAAAGCTTGAGGAATAAAAAGAGATATGATGGTGCAGTACGTTTAAAACCAGTAAAATTTATTAGTAAAGTATTGCACTCACAAAGAAGGTGTCTAGCCGACACCAGCAATGACAGCCTCTGTAATGCCACATCCACAAGGGAAAAACCAAGGGACAAACCTCCTATACCGCGATCAACACAGCCAACAGCTGGGAGGAACGTTCCAACGTCACGGCCACTAGGCCAGGCCCAACGCGTTTCGTCACTTGATGTCTTCAAGGGGCGGTATATATATATATATATATATATATATATATATACACACACACACGTGAAACTCAAAAAATTAGAATATCGTGCAAAAGTTAATTTATTTCAGTAATGCAACTAAAAGGTGAAACTAATATATGATATAGACTCATTACATGCAAAGCACGATAGTTCAAGCCGTGATTTGTCAATTGTGGTGATTATGGCTTGCAGCTCATGAAAACCCCAAATCCACAATCTCAGAAAATTAGAATATTGTGAAATATTCTAGGCTCAAAGTGTCCCACTCTAATCAGCTAATTAAGCCATAACACCTGCAAAGGGTTCCTGAGCCTTTAAATGGTCTCTCAGTCTGGTTCAGTAGGAATCACAATCATGGGAAAGACTGCTGACCAGACAGTTGTGCAGAAAACCATCATTGACACCCTCCATAAGGAGGGAAAGCCTCAAAAGGTAATTGCAAAAGAAGTTGGATGTTCCCAAAGTGCTGTATCAAAGCACATTAATAGAAAGTTATGTGGAAGGGAAAAGTGAGGAAAAAAAACGTGCACAAGCAGCAGGGATGATCGCAGCCTGGACAAAGGAAAAAGCCATTCAAAAGTGTTGGGGACATTCACAAGGAGTGTAGAAAAATATATGCAGCGCTAATAAAACTAATGAAAACAAACGGAAAAACAGAACATAGGTTGCACACTAGCATAGATGAAAAAACTCAGTCCATATTACATGGTGGGATAAAGTGATAGGTGCAATTGTCCAAGTGATCCATGGTCAGAGATAATCGTGACTCTAGTGATCTTGTAATTGTACAAATAATGCACTAACCAGATAGCGCATAAAGTGCGCATGGAGCAATTAAGACCCGCTCCTGGTGCTCTGGACTTGTGATTTCAGGAGGATGTCATCTGCAGGTTAGCCACCAAATGTCATCAATCCAGGTATATTCGTAAGTCATCCACCAGGAAAATCATCAGCGGGGGAGGGGGTAATCACACATCACTCCAAACCAGCAGGAACCTTCAAAAGTGGGCTCCCATGCAATGGATGAGACCCAGAGAGGCTTCTAATAGTGTAGTATGTATTTATAGGTAAAGTTGATCCAGGAAATATCCGATTGCCTCTCGGGGGATCAGGAAGGAATTTTTTTCCCTCAGGAGCAGGATAAACAGGCATAAGGATCTGGCAGCAAGGAAGGCAATCAAAACACTGACTGGCTGAGAGGCTGGAGTCAGTGCATCAAGAGCCACCACACACAGACGGATCCTGGACATGGGCTTCAAATGTCGTATTCCTCGTCAAGCTGCTCCTGAACAACAAACAACGTCAGAAGCATCTTACCTCGGCTAAAGAAAAACAGACCTGGTTTGTTGCTCAGTGATCCAAAGTCCTCTTTTCTGATGAGAGCAACTTTTGCATCTCATTTGCAAACCAAGGACCCAGAGTATGGAGGAAGAATGGAGAGGCACACACTGCAAGATGCTTGAAGTCCATTGTGAAGTTTCCACAGTCTGTGTTGATTTGGGGAGCCATGTCATCTGCTGGTGTTGGTCCACTGTGCTTCATTAAGTCCAGGGTCAACGCAGCCATCTACTACCAGGAGATTTTGGAGCACTTCATGCTTTATGGGGATGCTGACTTCATTTTCCAGCAGGACTTGGCACCTGCCCACACTGCCAAAAGCACCAAAACCTGGTTCAATGACCGTGGGATTACTGTGCTTGATTGGCCAGCAAACTCGCCTGACCTGAACCCCCCCATAGAGAATCTATGGGGCATTGCCAAGAGAAAGATGAGAGACGTGAGACCGAACAATGCAGAAGAGCTGAAGGCCACTATTGAGGCATCCTGGTCTTCCATAACACCTCAGCAGTGCCACAGGCTGATAGCTTCCATGCCACGCCACATTGAGGCAGTAATTGCTGCAAAAGGGGCCCAAACCAAGTACTGAGTACATATGCATGCTTATACTTTTCAGAGGTCTGATATTGTTCTATGTACAATCCTTGTTTTATTGATTGCATGTAATATTCTAATTTTCTGAGATTGTGGATTTGGGGTTTTCATGAGCTGTAAGCCATAATCATCACAATTTTGACAAATCACAGCTTGAACTATCTTGCTTTGCATGTAATGAGTCTATCTCATATATTAGTTTCACCTTTTAAGTTGCAATACTGAAATAAATGAACTTTTGCACGATATTCTAATTTTTTCGAGTTTCACCTGTGTATATACACACACACACACACACACACACACACACACACACAGTGCTAAACATAAATGAGTACACCCCTTTTGAAAAGTAAGATCTTACTCAATATCTCAATGAACACAAGAACAATTTCCAAAATTTTGCTAAAACTGAGTTTTATAGAACATTTGTTTAGCTCATTACATGAACGTAAGGTTAATAATATAACTTAGATTACAAAATCTCCAGTTACACTCAAATTAGCTGATGCAAAAAAAACCCAAAAAATTAATACACCCCAACAAAAAAACTACTACATCTAGTATTTTGTATGACCTCCATGATTTGTAAGGATATCACCAAGTCTTCTAGGCATGGAATTAACATGTGGGCGACATATTGCAACATCTATCTTTTTCCATTCTGCAAGAACGGCCTTTTTTAGAGCCTGGAGGCTGCATGGAGAGTGATGCTCAACCTATCGCTTCAGAATTCCTCATAGGTGTTCGATTGGGTTTAGATCAGGAGACATACTTGGCCACTGAATCACTTTCACCCTATTCTTCTTTAGAAATGTAGCAGTGGCCTTTAGATGTGTGTTTTTAGATCATTGTCATGTGGAAAAGTGCACAACGACCAAGGGCACAGAGTGACGGTAGCATCTTCTCTTTCAATATAGAGCAGTACATCTGTGAATTCATACCATCATTGAAATGCAGCTCCCCGACACTAGTAGCACTCTTGCAGGTCACTGCTACCACCATGTTTCACTGTAGGCACCATGCATTTTTCTTTGTACACCTCACCTTTGCGACGCCATGCAGTTTTGAAGCCATCCGTTTCAAAAACATTTATCTTGGTCTCATCACTCCAGAGTACAGAGTCCCCGTACTCTTTTTCAGCATGGACCCTGGCAAATTCTAGGTGGGCTTTTTTGTGCATGGGCTTTAGGAGAGGCTTCCTTCATGGACAACACCTATGCATGCTATTCCTCTGCAGTGTACGCCGTATTGTGTCACGGGAAACAACCACCCCAGTTTAGCTTTCTACTTCTTTAGCCAACTGCAGTGAACATGCATGGTGATTTTCTTTAACCCTTCTCATCAGAAGACTCTCCTATTGAGGTGGTAACTTCCGTGGACTTCCTGGATGCCTCTTTGACATGGTTGCGCTTCCATCATTGTTACATTTTTATATCACTTTTGCTACAGTATTCTGACTATTAAGTAAAGCTTTGTTGATCTTCTTCTAGCCTTCACCTTTCTTGTGTAAAGAAATTATTTTCTTTCTCAGGCTTTGTGACATTTCTCTTCCATGTGGTGACAGCATGAAATGGGAGGGGTTTTCTTTAAGTAACACCCTTTTATAATCAACTGTCTGCTGGACACCCGTTTAATGAACAATTAGACTCACATGTAATTGATTTCTTTTTAATTAGGATTTTGTTGTCTAAAATTTAACTTTGCTCTTAAGACTTTCATTGGGTTGTATTCATTTTTGAAACATGGTCCTGAATTA